TTCCATAAGTCTGTCACAAGCGTTTCTTTTGTAATGCCGTGTTTGGCTGAAGGCCTCCGGATGTGCCAAACTACGTGGGGAGCCCAGCCGCTCCGAAGTCTGGGGATCAAGATCCGCCAGCTTCCGCGAGGTGTTCAGGGGGGGGTTTTGCGGGTTTAGAGGATTTAGGGCTTTAGGGTTTAGGGTTTAGGTTTTTGGGGGTTTAGGATTTAGGGGTTTAGGGGTTTTCTTACAGCAACTCTTTGGCATTTGAGGTGCAGGTGGTCCGCACCTCCAAGGATGGTGGAGAACGGCTGAAGGCCTTGTTGCCCACAGCGTTTCTGTCGACATGCATGCACAGTTGGGTGGAAATGGGCGGAATCCGATCCGATTTGCGGAATATTGACTTTTGCTACATATCTACAGATTCATCGAGCAGCTATGGAAGTATCTGAAATGTCTTAGTTGGGCTGCATCGGAACCGTCTCCTTGTTGGCTGCCGCTCTTGAGTTTTCTTGCTCTTCTCACCCCTGTCTGGTGCGCACATCTGCCCCTATCATTGTTGGGCTGCCGCTTGTGACTTTTCTGGCTCTTATAATGTCTGTCTGGTGCGCACATCTGCCCCGATCCTGTTTGTGTTGGCTGCTGCTTGCGAGCGTGGTGGCTCTTCTACGTTTCTAGTGCGCTCATCGGCCCCTATCCTGTTTGTGCTGGCTGCCACTTGTGAATTTGCTGGCTCTTCTAACTCTTGTTTGGCGCATTCATTTGGCAGCTGTTTGTGTTGGCTGCTGCTCGTGTGATTTCTGGCTCTTCTAACTGTTTCGTGCGCTCATCTGTCACCATCCTGTATGTGTTGGCTGCCGCTTGCGCGTGTGAGCTTTCTGGTCCTTCTGACTCTTTTCTGGCGCTGGCTCTTCTAACTCCTGTCTGGTGTGCTCATCTGCCCACCATTTACAAGCGCATCGACGCCCAAACCGTAACAGCGTCCATTTACCGCAGCATCCGTTGCAAGAGCAACCATAGCAATAAAGTTTATTTACCAGATCATTCGTTTGCCAGAGCATGCATGCTCAAACCATAAAAGCGTGAGTTTACCAGAGCATCATGTGCTAGAATATCCATGCCCAAAGTCATGTCAATGTTTCAGAGCATCCGTTTGCCAGAGCATCCACGCACAAACCAAACCAACGTCCATCTACCGTGGTTGAAATTGAACCAAACACGAACTAGAGAACAAAATGAGTGACCGGTGACTTGCGGTTTACTTCTTTCTTCATGTCACTGTACGTCTAACGGTAAGTGTAGTGGAAAGGCCCATGCCCAAACCAAGTAATGACGTCCATTGAACCTTCGACGAAGTCGGCTTCATACACGTTGCTGATGCAAAGGCTGCTTACCGGCAAGCTTTTGATGACACTGTCAGTTTCATGCTCGCCTTTCTCGGAGTTTGAACTTAAAACGCAGAATTTCGCAGGTTTTTCGGTAACAGCCATGCCTTTGCGCATTTTCCTGATTGTCACTGTTGCGTTCCGCTACCACTCTTTTCCTTTGCTTCAAATGTTCCTCGCAAACACAACAATGGTCTTGTGCCGTGCCCACATGCCGTGAAGCGAACGGGATGGGCGCGCACCACCACCACCGCCACCGCCACCACCACCACCACGACTACTACTACTACTACTACTACTACTAGGCTAGCCCCTGGAGGTTCTCCGGAGACCATGTCTTGGTATAAGAGTAGATCTTGTTGCAAGAGCTCGAAAGTATTGCAAATACCACTGAGTTTGCACTTACAGAACATAGCTACGCTACTCGGAACATGTTGTCTTCGCGCGCACTTATAGCAGGGAAGTACGCGCGCGAAGATGCTAGAAAGCCAGGTTTAGGCACACGTCGATCAACGAAAACATGCGAAAACTCGAGGTTTTGTCGTCTGTGAGTGGGCAGTAAGATGGCAAAACATGACGAAACCCCTGCGTTTCATGGTGTATTCGCAAGAGGGCACCGAATTCATTGGCATTTACAGTACTTCGCACACCTCAACAGAAACACGGAATCCCGATAGTCGTGGTTTTATGTGGTGTTTCGGTTCACAGTTATGGGTTTCGTCTGCTGTTGTCTGAAAGAAAACATTCAGCAACTCGAGGTTTTTGTCACGTGCAAGTGCGGAGAAGCACTTCAGCACATCAGGAAAACCTTGCGTTTCGCGGTGTATTTTGCAACAGAGTAGCCAAGTCACTGGTATTTGCGGTACTTCGCACAAGTGGAGAAAGTTAGAGTTTACCGATAGAGTTGGTTTTATGCGGTTTTGGGGTTTAGACTTCAGCAAAATATCATCATCAAGATCATCATGAAGATCATCATTAAGATCATCATCAACATCATCGTGAACATCATCATGAACATCATCGTGAACATCATCGTGAACATGACGATGAACATCATCATGAGCACCATCATGATCATCATCCATCTGTTGTGAGCATCATGTTGCCATCGCAATGTCGCGATCGACATGTCGTCATCACCCCCACACCCCCGCCCCCCCCCCAGCTTCACCCAAGATCCAAATTCAAGTCTGAAATCCAACCTCCGAAGTCCTGAACACCAAGTTGTCCCCGGAGAAATCCCAGGGACAAGCCTACTACTACTACTACTACTACTGCTGCTACTACTGCTACTACTACTACTACTACTACTACTAACTACTAGATGTTGCCGCTGCTTTCGCTCCCACTCCTATTCCTACTGCTACTGTTGCTGCTGCTGCTGCTGCTGCTGCTGCTGCGGCTATGGCTACTGCTTCTGCTTCTGAATGGAAGTGACGGTAGCGGCTTGGGTGCGAATAACAGGAGTTCGTGTCTGGCAGTACTGATGGTAGCACCAGTCCTCGCAGTCGTCGTACAAGCTGCGGAGCAAGAGGAGGAGGAGAAGGAGAAGGATCAACGACAGCAAGAAAGCCAATATGAACAACGTGCTCAGCAACAGCCACAAGAACGACAAGATGATACAGCAAACTGATTTCAGTGATGACTTCGCACAAGTTGTTACACGTAATGCATTGATATGTCGGTGGCAGGTGTTGCAATCCCTGGCGCTCCAAGATCAAATCGCTCCGCCTGGCAGTTCCAAGATCATTCTGGAGCTCTCATTCGGAAGGGACGTGGTCGTTATGACTTCGGGTTTCTGATATAGGACTTCTTGAAGAGATTCAAGTGAAAACACGCCGCTCGGGAGATATTTTGGTGGTTGCAATCACGCTGCGAAGGTCTCCCCGGATGTAGAACGAAGCTGGTTGTCGGCACCAAAGGCTACAGCAGAGACCCTCCTTGCTCCAGCTTGTTCAACTCGAGAGAAAGATCCCCAACAAGGTGCAAACTCACAGTACCTCCTGCCCCACACGAGATGTGTGCGTGTGTAGAAAGAAGTGCTTGCACGAGGAGCCGAGCGTGCGCGCTGCACCCGGTGCGAAGAATCTTGTGTTTGTCTCCAGTGAAGGACACACTGTCTAGACGTTGAGGTTTGTCGCAGCTTGCGGTTGCAGAAGTGTGCCAGTGGCGAGTTCAATCGGCTGGCTCTTTACCCAACCCAGGCAGCCTTGTGAGAGGATGGGGATGTAAGGCAAGTTCTGCCCTAGGAGCCAAGACCCCTACTCATAAAATCCGTGTATCTAAGTGGGCCACGTAAGGGAGCCTAAAACGAAAAAGACACCTCACCTTAAACTTAAGTTCACGCCCTCAGCATGCAAGTTCTCAAAGCTTCAGAACGAGCCATCTGACTCCCAGATCCAAGGGTTTGAGGCCTCGCGCAAATTCCCTGCCAACTTCCGCACGTCACTTTGCGAGTGCCTGTTACTTCTCCGGTATCCAAAACTTAGAACTGTGAGTGCGAGCCAGCTGAACTACAATGCTTCAACCCGAGCCCCACACAATCCCACACCGCGACAGGATTGAGGAACCTGGAGTTTCTGAGAAGCTACTTTTTTCAGACTCATTCTCCCAAGGCTTCCAGACCTTTCTGGGCTTTGGTGGCAGTTTCACCGAGTCCTCGGCCGAACTCCTCCAGAAGATGAAGCCGAACCAGCAGGCTCCTGCGTAATATGGAGGCCTTGATAGGTTAGAATAGGGTTTGGGGTGTACTATACTATAATCATGATAGTAGGGAACCCCAAAAACCATATTCTAATTATTAAGGCCCCTATATTAACCACACAGATGTGAAGCAGATATCTCTGCATACCACACACCCGGATATTTCTGTAAAATATACCGCTCAGAAAAGCTGTTCTTGAACACTTCGGCCCTTCCCGGTCTCAGAGCTTTGGGAGCTCAGGCTTTCGAGCCCTGGGCCCAACATCGGAGCAATGAAACATTCGCGATACAGAAAACCTTCAGCGTCTGCCATGGGTTACCAGAAGCCACTCACCCGCAAAGCGTTGTTTTGATTCTACAAGACGAGCACGGAGCGAGCACAGCTCGTCTTTGTCGAGTTTCAGTGCATTGGGTACTGTAGCCATGTTTGTTTGAGATGTTCTGCACAAGAAACTCAGCCTTCGCAAGCCGATGTTCGCAGCACTATTCAACAGCCACGACCTCGAAGTGCTTAGTGCATCTACCTTGCTGGCCGAGGCTTTCGACCAGGATAGCGATGACGACACGGTTGATGATTGAAGATGGTGGTTAGAGCGGGTATTGATGATTCTGCGGTGGTATCGGGCATGTGTCAGCAGAAGCTGTGTCGAATCATTGGTGCCGTCATTGCCGTCCTCGTCGTCGCAATTGCTGTTGCTGCTGCTGCTGCTGCTGCCGTTGTTGTTGTTGCGGATTGCTGACTTCGCCACTGCGGGTCTTGTGATGATTGTACGATGACAATGATGGTGGTGGTGGTGGTGATGATGAGGACCGGGATGACATGGGACAACAATGACGCTGCCGTGGTCGAGGTTGATCTTGTCAGTGTTGCTGTGCTCTGGATTGAGATGGCGGGTCGAGGCACGAGTAAGTTTCGTCTCTCATTCGCAGGAGCAGGTCATCGAAGCCTACTTCAGCCAGGCCGGTGTTTGTATGCCTCCACCTCCCTCCCTCTCTCTTTTTTCCTCTCCCACTCTCTCTCTCTCTCTCTCTGTCTTTTTTGCTTTTTGTGTATGCGCCTGCGACGATGCGGATGCATGCACACGCTTGTGAGTGTGTCCTATCTACCTGACTGTCTGTCTATCTATCTGTATATGTATCTATGTATCCATCTGTTTATCTATCCATCTATCTATCTATCTATCTATCTGTCTGTCTATCTACGTGTCTATCTATCTGTCTCTCTATCTATCTATCTATCTATCTATCTATCCGTCCATGTTTGTGCGGACGGGGGGTGTGTATCTGTGAGTTTGTAATATATATAGCGTCTTACCATCTTCCTCTTCTATCTTTACGAATGCGCGCGTGTCCTCCCATCGGCGGTGCCGAACTCCGAACAGATTGAAGTACAAACCTCCACGCCGACTAAGGACAATTCATGTTTCAGTTGCATCCGTGCAACTTGGGTGTTCCACTAGTCACTGGCCGCTAAGTAGTTCATTCGCCTTAAATGACCTCAAGCCATGCGCAGACAGCGTGGAGGTACGATTTCGGCAACTACGCATATGATTGCACTCCATGACAGTGTTCGCAAGCTTCACAAACTGCTTATAAGAACGGATAGGAGAAGCAGAAGAAGTGATTAGGGCGTGTCGTTGTGGTTTTCCCATTGTGCCAGGAGAAGGGCATTGCATACTCTTGGGGTCGCGTCCATATGGGCAGCGGCCTTAGATCATGAAGTCAGCAAGTCAGCCGAAGCCTCGAGGTTCTTCCAGAAGTCGTTGGGGCCATGAAGTCAGCAACCCCACGAAGTCCTCCTCTCCTACCCCTTTTTGCCGAGGTGCGTGCGACTTTTCCAGGCTTCCGGCAATGTCCGTGCTCCGGGGGTAGTGGGGGCGATTTGTGAGAACTTTGCTTTATAACTCACGAGACACATCTTGTGCTGGTTTCTGATTGCTCGAAGGGGCAACTGGAGCTGCGTTGAGCAAGAGAATGCCGGGGCCACAGAGCGATGTGCAGTCCGTGCAAAGCATGCTTGCTGATCTGCTGCGCCTGGGCATTGTGACTTTGTGCAGAACTTCCTTCGTCCGACAGCTGGATGTCCACGATTGTTTTGGAACGTCAGAGTTTGCAAGCCCGGCAGGACAAGGAGCTGAAAAGCTTCAGCATCGAGCGCTATCGCACGGCCATGTTGCCCATGATCAAACGTGCGCAGGAGGCAGAAGGGAGAGCTTGAAAGGCTTTTTCTGGTAAGGAACGAGCAAGGGAGTCGCCAGATGAGAAGCTCAGCCTCGACCCACCAGCAAGACGCTGGCAAACATTGCAATAAGATTCGCTTGGAGCCCGGAACCACGTCTGGGACGCAAGAACAACTCCAACTCCAAGGCCACATGGTGAGCCCGAAGCGGGAACACGAGTGAGAGAGTCGAAGCCCAAGAAGGTCGCCTCTCGGCCGCTGCAGCTGATCGCCTCTCCATGGAGTCCTCCAGCTTGGATGAAGGAGATTTAGCTTTCACGGTCCATGGTCTCGGTCTGGGTACATATAGGCTTGCTTAGCATGCGCAGCCACCCGCCTGCCGAAGGAGCAGCATTGTATGAGTTTGGGGTTTAGACATCAAAGACTGGGGGCTGAGGGGCTGAGGGCTCAGGAGTTGCCTTGAGTCGAAGACTGTGCGAGGTCGCGAATGGTTTTGCTTTTGCTTCAGGGGTATATTAAAGCTGGCAGTCAAAAACGTATTCTTAACAATGGAATCAAAGTCAGCAACATGACACAGATATGTAGAGGCTCTAGCACGGAGGATCTTCACTCTCGACGTTTTTGTCCTCCGCCTCGGTAGCCAGGACACGGGGCGCATGCAAGGCGGCGGAGCCTTGAAAGATGAGTTCAAGCACCGCAACCCAGAGGCTGTTAAATGCACAGAAACGTGTTGTAGGAAGCGATGCGCGGTCGGCCGACCTTCGTTTTCGAGATGCCGGTACAGCTGCAAGACAACTGCCAAAGAAGGGTGGCCGTATTGCAAAGTTCTTTGTCGACCCGGCTGGGCTTGGGGGGTTACGAGAAATTATCGTAGCAACGGCAGTGTTGATGGACACTTTGCCCAGGTCTGCCTGGGCACAGCACTACGTTCTCTTTGCACAGGCCCTTAAGGAGGAGGGTGCTCCCCTCTGGGGCTTCACTGCCCGGAAGCCCAGGCAAAGCCGCATAATCACCACAAGTCATGTCATGCTTGGCTATTTCGGCTGAGTCGGCTTCAGGGGCTGGGAACTTGGATTCAGTCTTGAATTTCATTCATCTCAAGCAAAGTTTGTTGAATATGCATGGGTCAGGGCGGTTCATGTGTAAGCAGGTGCATGAGAGGAGGCCAAGCCTCCGTTCATTATGACATCAGAGCTCGGAGCAGCACTTCAAAGCACCAGCAAGAACACGGTGGAAGAGACGTTTCACGTTGAGACGGTAGCAGATAGCACCCCACCAGGTCCAGAACGAGCCTCATGCGCCCCCGCCTCAGTGCTCCTTTGGTCTTTTGGCTTTGGACTTCTGACATCCATAAAGTAAGATTTGCCTTCCCTAATATGCCAACCGCACGCACAGGCTTGTTGGAAGAAACGCAAGGCCTGCTAGGGCAGATTTTCTGTTTGCGACGTGTTTTGTGAGCAGATGTTGGGAACTTGACACGCTCAAGCCAATACCCACAGATCCCTGTTAGAGAAGCAGAGGTTTCGATCGTTTCGCAGCCTTGGGGCTGAGGTAAAGAGTTGGGATGGCCCTGGGGTTCGTAGAGCAGCAAGTGCGAGCATTGGTGGGAGCATTGATTTCTGTTAAGCTGTGGCAGTGGCGAGGATAATCAAAGGTGTCGCCGTCATCTTCCAAATTTGCGAGATTGTCGCCTTGTGCTTGAGCAACAGGCACATAGCGGATGCAGGGTTGACCATGGTTCACCCTTTGTGACAGCACCCGGCAAATCCAACTGTCGGATGGATGCACTTGATTTGCTCCCTAGCAGGGCTGTCCTGAGCCAGGGCAGCACTGGATGTAAAGAAACCCAGCAGTCCCGCCGACCCTCGTGTCGAAAAGCCGGCAAAACCCCAAGGACAACACCCTGGGAGAATTGTTTGTACAACGGCGACATGGAGCGGGACTTCGTCAAAGATCACCTGGGGCCTGCTTTGGAGGTGCAACTCTTCCTCTGTTTTGGGAGGGCTTTTCTGACGAATCTTGCTGATAGAGGGACTCACAAAGAAAGAGCATTCTCTTGTCTGTGCATTTCCGACATGTTGTGGTGGAAACGATGGGTTTCATCATTGTCAAACTGTTGTCTTGGCAGGGGTCTTTCAGAATTCATCTGGCTAACCTACACTGCAAGGCTCTCATTGCAAGATCCCTTCGACGCTGTTTTTTGGTTTTCTTTAGCGTGGTGGGTCTGAACCGTGTATGTTTCAGTGACTAGTTGGGACCGCGGTTTGGGTTCGATGCATGATCGTTCTCGTGGATTACATGTCATACTAGACCTTATGCCTTTGCACGGCTCTGGGGTTGACAGCACATCGAGTTAGCGAGCTGGGCTGGCATCGTTTTGTCATGAGAACAGCCTGGGACGGTTCCATTAGTTTTCAGGGAATGTTCCAAACACTCCTCCGTGCACCGAAAGTCTTGTTATAGACAGAGCAGGCCAGTGGCCTGGATCTCAAACTCCTCGTTTGGGATCACAACCGCCGCTCGGACTTGTCACAGATGCCTTAGGAGGGCTTTTGCTCTTGCTCTGCCCTACAAGACATGAGTACGCTCGGGGTAGGCACACTTTCGCTTCGATGACCACGTGGTGAAAGTGACTCAAGATAAAGCCATCACAGTTTCCTCTCGATGCTTCCTTCTCTCAGCCTCTGAGGCGACGAGATGTTTGCCCGCGCGCAGAGACCTCAGCATAGGAACGAAGCATCATCGATAACATTACATGGTAGCTCCATTGCCTCGTTTTGCCCAAGTCCCTCACGCATAAATTATTGTGGGAGCTAATTCACATCTGCAGCCATGCCCTCGTCGGGATCTCGAGGCACACAATCTACAGCGACCCGGAGGCTGCAAAGTACATCTGGGGGTTGGGGTCTCAGCGGCTGGCCTTTGATCGATTGAGAAGCGGAAGTGGAGATCGCTACCAGGATCTATAATGACGAGAATCCTATGTTACTGTGGATTTATTTTATGTCAGGTGTGGGGCCGAGGGCCTTTTAGGGCTTGACCACGTGTCTTCATTCGACATATTGAGACAGACATGTCTTCGAGAACGTCTGCCGGTGCGAAGTGTCATAAGATCGCTCTGACTCTGCAAAGCCACCGGATTCGGCTCGCCGTCAACAGCTCCTAGTTGAGTCTCTTGGGGAGCGGCAGGGACCTTCCTAATACCTCTTGCTTTAAGTTCACACTGATGCATCCAGTAGTCCGAATGTCCGCTTGGAGTCAAGCCTTTTCTGACGAGCCGCCTGTGTTGGCAAGTCGCACATTGTACTCAAAGGCCTTTTAACTTTTGATCTTTTGCGGGGCCAGTGCTCTTCGACCGGGGCAGCTCATGAACAAACAGAAAGCGATCTGAAGGCTGTGATGGTTGTGACAAGGATCGGATACCATTGGTATGGTGATCCACGCTACGAGTTCTGGCCGGCCAGAGAAGGCGGGATTTCCAAGTCTTCCTCCTAGAACCGCAACACAAACTCACAATTTCACCTATCTCCCGTCACACCAGACGCACTCGACCTGGCTGCAGGCCCAAAGGCTGCAAGCACAGACGCCCCGCCTAATATCAGCCGCCGCGTGAGTCATGAATGCTACTGCCTTTGTCAAAAGCCATCGCCGCGGGCAGGCATGACGCTTTTTGACAATGCCTTGACCTCGGAGCCTTCGGCAACATGCGAGTCTCCCCAACACAACAGTATATACTTAGGCCTTAAAGGGGTTCCTATATAGGTACTGTAGGGTCTAAGTATATACTATATGGGTACATGAGTCTTTCCATCCTCAAGCCTAAGGCAAACCTTCAAATCCTGAGGTGCGGAAGGTCCATGAGTTGAGACCGGATAAGCACATCATCATGACCGAGGCGTGCCAGGACCCCCAGAAGCATATCATGGATCACCTTGGCCGGGGGGGGGGGGCGAGGGCTCACTTTGCACCATTGAGAACGTAGTATTCAGGATTTTGGGTTTAGGATGTTGAGATTGGGTGAGTCTTCTTGGGGTCTTACATGGGTATCGTGAGTGTAATACACTACAGTAACGACCATGAACAATTCCAACAATCACTCGGCACGATACACAAAGTGAAATAGCTGATAAGCTTGGTTTGTTGCACAATAGAGATGACAATGAAGTGTGTCTTCGCAAGTCTCGGTTGTTCAAGGATATGTTCATATCCTCTCGCGACGGAGGGGATGAAAAAGACACACCAAAAACCCTGAACCATTTCAAAGCTGAAGCGTTCAAAAGGCATTTGCTTGAAAGAGCCACACCTTGCGAAGCAGGCCTCACAACTGAAGGAGATCGGCTGTGGAGTTGAAAATCAGAAGCAGGGTTCGGAGTTTGGGACTGCAAGCTGCTGAGCTCCCAAACATGGAAACTGAACACGAGACAGTGTCGCAGGAGGCTGGCCCTCGCATCGGGGACTGGCAATTGGGGGAGCGCTATGCCGAGGCCATCATCAAGGACCTCAAGCGTAGGATTCAGAATTTAAGAAGCTGCACTTTCGATTGCAGATGTTGGGGCTTCGGGCAAGTGTGCGAGTCGTTGGTTTGAGGGCTCGGGAGTCTTCGGTGGGCTGTAAAAAAATGAGCGCTTAAAGAACAAAAGCTTTCAGATACTTAGGGCTTCATGGATGCAAGGATTTTTGAGTAGAGCCAAAAGCACAGATGCATCCTGTTTGTCATCGAGGAACGGCAATACCGGCAGAAGTATGCTAATGGGCTACGGAAGCAACAAAAGTCCTTCAAGTTCTTTATTCCGTGAAGAGCAACCGTGTTTCAAGCTTTTGGAAAACGTTGAAGGTTCCTGCGTATTTGTAGGCAGGCTCATACTTCAGGCGAGTACAGGCGGAACAGAGAAGAGGCCATGCAAGTCGC